TATATATTTTTCATAAATCTTTTATGCATTTTTTATACGATAATTTTTAATCAAAAATTTCCTATTTTTACATCCCAGGTGACTTATTGTCCACCCGACGGGTGACCCGGGTGAAGGTTATTTAGACGGGTCAAATCACTAATGCGAATAAATTATTAGCAAAACTATATTTATTATCGTTATATATATTTTGAAAATAATTAGAGTAATTCAATCTTATCTTTATATCATGATCTTTATTAGAGATGTAATACGAACTTTAGCCATATAATTAATAAAATGATAATACTCATATATTCATACATATTATCGACCTACTACTTAACCCAAAGTTTCTAATGTTTTAATTCTATGATGTTTAGATTACATAAAATATGAACATTAGTGCATGCTTATTGTTATTACAGTATAATAGCATGTCAAATGGTATGCATAAAATTCTTTAAGTTAAATCTTACATGTAACATCTCAATCCAGCATTTAGAACTTACATATAGTTAATATAACTAGTATTATCAATAAATAGCAAAAACATCCGCTTATAAATGACGTTCTTGGGGTTAATGATTATTTTTGATTATTTTTGCACCGTGAATATAGAAGCTAGAAATGGGTTTTACAATGATTTTTCGTTAGCGAAACGTTACATTTCCAAAACTATAAAAATAAGTTATCCGGGCAATTGATTTACATCAATCAATTATGCGAATGTCTCCCTATGAGCCCACGGGTCAACCCATGGTCAACCCGCGGGTTGACCCGTGGTTGACCCGTGGGTTAGCTACCCGGTTGTTACAACCCCACCCGCGGGTGACCCGGGTTAAGACCCACCCGGGTCAAAACACTACCTTGGCAATTAGCCAACCAAATTCAATGAACTTTGGTTTTGTTATGATTCTGCAGTTTTATAGAATCAAAATAAAAAAAATTCATTGAATTGGTTGGCTGTTTGCCGAGATTTCTTCGCTCAAAGTTATAAACAATTTTAAAATTCACGTCAAAATTTAGGTGTGCCGATAAGAAGATAAGTCACGTGTTTTGCTGTGTCGGTAGCAATCCCCTTTATTGGGCGATGCTAGGGCAGTTTGTCACGTGATATTTTCTAAATCTAGTCAATTAGATAACAATATCAGGTGCAACGTAAACATTGCTTTTAGAAAAATCGGTAATAACTCGAAATTTCACTAATTTAACCGCCTTCTGCGTATTAATAAAGAAATTTCTTGCTAAATTTTGGTATACAACACCCATATTCTCAACCTAATCCTAACGATAAGTTCTTCATAAACTTATTCGATTGTTTTGATTTTCTCTGATTGGCCAAAGTCACATGACAGTAATTTTTTTTGCCATGGTTAGGGTCGTAATTGCATAGAATACACATGACAGATCACGAGTTTTTTGGTTCTCATAGTCATGAGACTTAAACTTACAAATGACCAAATATTATATTAATATTATTTTAATAATTTTATTTTATAGTTATTAATATTCAATGAATGTTCAATGAAGATTCTAATATTTATACAATACTAAAAAGATTGAACAAATGAATATTCAAATACTTATTTTTTGACCGAGTAAGACCTATAGCTTCGATCTGTTCTCAAGTGAACCAGATCCTGTCACGTAATTCCATCCATCAGCTAGTCCGGAGCTACCAATGTTCTGAATCCTGCTCTTGCTTCGTTAAAAGCTTCCAAATAAGTCCCGGTTAGTGTACGGAATACTTGAACTTCTGCGGTTAGTGCTACCCAACCTGGAACTAGTCTATTCATTAAAGGACCAATAATATCCCATACATTCTTTCGATGAGAAGATTCGTAAAATGTAGCGAAACATCAAAAGCAGGTGTCGTGTTTAAGAAACCCAGGGTCAAAGTGAAAAGCATTATAAGAGTAATGACAGCATGATTAGTAATGTTCTAAATTAAATACAGTAGATGATATCATTCACAAAGACTGACGCATACCGAAAATGTGTACAGAGTTGTGTGATCATGTGATAGTTCGGATAATCACTCTGAAAATCACTTTCAATTACTTATGAATTTAATTTTATCTCTTCGGAAATACTTTAAAGATAGGCGTCTGATTGACTAGATTTGTAGGTCAATTTGTAGATCTACATGTGATTATTAGCCAATCAAATCACACAATTTGCAATTCGTTATTTTATATTAACGGTACTAGATTCGAAAACTTCAAGAAAAACTCATATAAATCGGTAACTACGTATGATTTATTGGATTATATACGTATAAAGGATGGACAGGGGCATATAGAGAAAGGCAAAAGTGGTGCTCACTACTAAAACAAAGCTCGAATCACTAACTCTACTATCTATAAACCCAGGTTGATATCTATAGTTAATAAACCCGTACGCCTTAACAAACCAAGTCAACTTAAGAATATCTCAAATATAAAACATAGTTCTCTCACGCCAACAAGCTTGCTTGCTTCAAACACCTAACTTGAAATCTCAAACTTTAAAAAAGAGACAACTGGTTTGTTAATAACTACTTTTGTTTTTGTGCATTTTAAAATTTAGACATAGCTTTTTTCTTTACCTCTTGCAGAAAGCGCGTCTAAGCCAACATCTCTTAAATTAGAGATTATTAGAGATTATTTTTAAAGTTAGCTTTCTAGCGTCTCTCCCTATAAAAAAGGGTTGTATAGAATTTGTATAATATTTGTGTTAGACGTGTGAAAAATATCTAAAAAAGTGCCATTCTGTCTGATTTTTGTTTAATATTTGTTTTATTTCAAATAAAATAAAATTAGACAAAAATCAGACAGAATGGCATATTTTTCACATGTCTAACACAAATATTATACAAATTCTATACAAACCTTTTTTATAGGGTCTTTGAAGCTAAAGATATGTTTGTTATGAATGGTTACTGGTATAATGTTGCGTTCTTAAAAAGTACTCTAAAACACATAAATAAGTTCCCCAGGCAATTGATTTGTATTAGCCAATTAGACGAATTTCTGACTATGACTTTAAAGGTATAGTACAGTCAATTCTCTTACAACGAACCCCCTATAACGAACTCTGGAAAAACGAATTAAAAGTTTTTAAATTTTAATTAGTTTAGTATAAAGACTTATAATTCTTAAAAAAAAAAAAGTAATTTATATAATTTATATAGCGAACGGCTTTTTCTTTATTTTTTGTTACATCCAGAACCGTCAGCTTGTTATAGAAAAGTCAACTGTAATTGAAGTTCTTATA